GGGGGGGGGGGGGAGAAGATATAACAACTATACTTTTTTGATGTTGTTACAACAAGCAAATGGAAAGGACATTCTTGGGTGGGAGGGGAGAGAGGGAGGAGGGAGGGAGGTGTCGGTGATGGGCCATAATAATCATATACATTGTTTATTGACAAAATAAAAATTTAATGAAAAAAAAAATAGAAGTGGTGGGAGTGAGCATCCTTGTCTTGTTCCTGTTCTTAAAGGAAAGGCCCTCAGTTTTTCCCAATTCAGAATGATACTGGCTGTGAGCTTGTCATAGGTAGCTTTTATTGTTGAGATACTTTCCTTCTATACCTAATTTGTTGAAAGACCATATGATTATCTCAATAGATGCTGAAAAAGCATTTGACAAAATTCATTATCCCTTCATGATAAAGACATTATTGTTTTTTGCATTCCAGATGTTGGACTCCCTTGAAGATTTCTTGTAGGGCTTGTCATGTGGCACTGAATTCCTGCAGTTTTTGTTTGCTTGGGAAATAGACTATTTCTCCATTGTATCTGAAGGAAAGCCTTGCTGGGTATAGTATTCTTGGCTGGCAGTTTTTAAAATTTTTGTTTTAGTTTTTTAGTAGTTTAAATATATTGTCCATTTTCTTCTGTAGGGTTTCTTCTGAGAAGTCTGCTGTTAGTCTGATGAGGACTCCCTTATAGATGACTTGCTACTTTTTTCTTGCTGTTTTTAGGATTCTCTCTGTCTGTGACTTTTGACAGTTTGACTACAGTGTGTCTCAGAGGGCACCTTTTTAGACTGAATCTGTTTGGGGATCTTTGAGCCTCTTGGTTCTGGAAGTCTATGTCTCTACCAATACCTGGGAATTTTTTCGGTATTATTTTATCGAATAGGTTTTTCAGTGCCTTTTCCTTTTTCCTGCCTTTGCAGGACACCCATGAGTAAGATATTTATGCACTTAAGGTTGTTTAACTCTAGAAGATTTTCTTCATTTTTAAAAATCCCTTTTCCTTTTTTTTTTTTTGTATTCTTGGGTTATTTTGAAAACACTGTCTTCAGGATCAGGCATTCCTTCTTCTGCTTGCCGTAGCCTGCTGCTTAAGCTCTAAAATGTAGTTTTTATTTCATTGAATGATTCCTTCAGTTCCAGGAGTTCTGTTACATCCTTTTTTACGGCATTTATCTATTTGTATATTTCCTCCTTCATGTCTTGGATTGTTTTTCTCATCCCATTGTGTCATCTTTCTGAGTCTTTTTGTATCTTACTGGGTTTCCTGAAGATTGTTACTTGGAATTCTTTTTCAGGTCTTTCAGTGGTTTCTTTTTGTTTGAGGTCTGGTATTTGAGAGTTATTGTATTCCTTTGGGGGTGTCATATTTTCTTGAATTTGTTTTGTATTTCTAGTATCCCTATGTTGATGTCTGGTCATTTGGTGGAGCTGTTGCTTCTTCAATTACTCTGGAGTGACTTTTGAGGAGAGAGAATCCTTCCTGTAGATTATTTTTTATGATGTCTATTGGGTAGGGTTTTAGTTTTGATTCCAGGTAGACTCTATAGTCTTTGTAGTTCCAGGTAGACTCAGTTGTTCTTGGTAGACTCAGTAGTCCGTGGAGCACCGATGGGTGTGGCCATGGCTGAGGGCAGCTTTGGCCTTGCATTGTGGGGCTCAAGCAGCTGTGGCCATGCTCCAGAGGCTGTGGCTTGGTGGCATGGGGCTCAGGGGACAGAAGCCATGCAGGGCAGGGCTCTGGAAGCTACAGCTGGGTATGGCTCAAGGCTCCAGTGGTGGAAGCCTTGTGGGGCATGGCTGTGGAGACTGCAGCTGGGTGGCTTCAGGGATTCCTTTTAAAGCAAGTAAAAATGGTTGATTGTAACGACTGAATGGCTGGAGATGAAATGAGAACTTTGGATGTAGATTACAATTTTCTTAAATATGATAGTAAAGACAGGATGGATTAAGGCAGAGGGGAGAAAACATGAATGAGGGAGAGAGAGAGGAAGATTAACAATACAAGTAATAAGGAAGACAGGTTTAAAAGCTCAGGTAAAGGAATTACTCTTAGCAGAGAAGAAACACCCTGTTACATACCTGGGGAAGAGAGAGGGAGTTTTGTGAAGAACTGGAAGTTGGGGGTTCCCATTGAGAGTCTAAATTTTATCTGTTGGGGAGAAGTTTATCTCACAGTCAGCTGAGGGAAAGGAATAAAGGAAAGTGTGAACAGTTATGTTGAATTTAGTAAGATATATATAGCTAGTAACTACAAGAATTTCTAAGTAATGGCTAGAGACAGGGAACTTACATAACAAGCTTAACGGGCATATTTTGCATGTAGTAAATCAATCCATATTGACTGAATGAAAATTATTGTTTATGAAGCAACATTTATGAAGTGTCTACTCTCAAATAGCCTCTGTTGTGTCTACAGTGACTTTTAAATATATTCCTCATGTGTTTGTTTTAAAAAACAGAATCAATAATTTGTTTTAGGTGGTTTTTTTTATACAGCAGAGGGTGGGGTTAAGTCTTAATGTTGTTTAAGATTTCTTTGACTCTATTATCTGTGTCTGTGCCACTTATACGTTCTTATGATATTGTGACAGTAGGCACCAGTAACTATTTATTGAATTTAACTTAGTTAAAAGTCTAATTACACTGAGCAGTTGCATATCCTTTTTTTTTAAGGTACAATAAACTTTTGATTATTTCAGATTATCTAAGCAGATGGGACAAGATGAGGATTTTACTGTTTACTAACATCTCCATAAGAAGGAGAAGGAAGTGGGAGAGGAGCAGGGATCAAAAAAGACTGCTTTTTGCTGTTAAGTTTTGTTACTTTTTCTGGAACAAATTAAAATTATTGACAGAAATATGTAGTGACATAATTACCTCTCAATTAAAATTGTCCTTCTTATTCATGTGTTGTAAGACTTTTTCCCGGTCAGTCAGAAAAAAACCCTCTTGCCTCAATAGGCCTCAAACCCAAGATTATTAGGGTAAAATAAAAAGTTAAAAACATCAGAACGTTAAAAAAAAGCTTAGATACCAAGACTTTGTATAGAGAACTACTTTAATATTCAGCTGTATATTGATATGACATCAGTATACAATTGAGAAAGAAAAAGAATGGAGATGATAGAATGTTCAATAAGAAAGGAATTCAAACAATATTAATATATATACATACTTGTTTCTCTTAATTTTAGACTTTAAGTCTGCTCACATTAAGTCTATCTAAAAATAGGTTACAGACTAGTAAATAGTGGAGCTGGATTCAAATGTCAGAATTTTGACTTCAGAAATTATGATCTCTCTACTGTGCTACCTCCTAAATTTGGTGATATCCAGAAAACTGCTGTGCATACATACAAGGGCTACCTAGTTCTTTGCCTTAATTTATATTTTTAGTAAACATAAATACTCTTATGTTACTGAATGTGGGTAGTTTAAAAGAGACATAAGAAGAGCAGTATTTGGGGGTTAGAGCAAGAACACTTGGCTATGCTATGCATTATTTTCAAGGGACTAGAGAATTTGAAAACGTCACAGAAGTTTCAGTGTTGTTTATTACAACCCCCTCATTGTACAGATGACTAGTCAGTGTCCACAGAGATTAAGTCACTTAAACTTGGTTGCTTACTTGGTTTGTGGATTAATTAGTAGGAGAGAAAAGATTCTGGTTTTGAAAACTCTTTGAGAATTGTAAATTGTTTTTTAAAGTCTAAATAAAAGGTATTTTATTTGGGGCAGACTTTCAAATAATAAAAGATTCAAGCGTAGTTTAGAAGAACATAAACTTTGGTACCAGGGTTCTGACTTTGAATATGGTTTGACCATTAACAGTTGTGTGATTTTGGACAAGTTACCTAACCTTTTGTGCCTCAATTTTTTCATCTATAAAAAAGGTTGATATGAAATTAGTAGTGTTATTGCGAGGATTAAATGATATGATATATGGATAGCACTTAGAACCATGCCTGACCCTCAAAAAATGTTAGATATTTTTGTTATTTTTAGTAAGTTATATTAGTGAATCTGTTTATCATTTCAAATTTTTTATTTTAAATTAAGAATGACTCTTTTCTCCCTACTAGGACGGAGTTACAATGACTTAAATCAATATCCAGTATTTCCCTGGGTTATTACTAATTATGAATCAGACGAACTGGATCTTACCTTGCCAAGCAACTTCAGAGATTTGTCCAAGGTAATTTCTGAGTAATCATCTGAAATATAATTGTCTTGCATATAAAAATAAATTTGATTATATTTAGTTATTTTCACATAACTTTAAAAAATCTTTGAAATATAATTGTAGCCTTTATATCTATATCTTTTAAATGTATTTTTCAAGATTCTCAAAAATTGAAAAATTTAATGTGCATGATAAACTTGATAACAATTTAAAATATTAAGTTATGTCCATTTTTCCATATACATTCGAGAAGCCATTATTCCCAAATGTCAACTTCTTGTAAGGGTGTTAGTATTTGATAAAAACATACAAAGAAGGGCTGGCCCGGTGGCGCACTGGATAGTGCGCCGCTTGGGAAGCGCAGCGGCGCTCCCGCTCGAGGGTTCGGATCCCACATACGGACCGGTTCCCGCTCACTGGCTGAGTGAGGTGCGGGGGCAACACCAAGGGTTGCAATCCCGTTGCCGGTCCCTGGTCCGGTACGGGGGCAACACTGAGGGTTGTGATCCGTTGCCGGACACGGAAAAAAGACTTTGATAAAAACATACAAAGAAAATCATGGCGGTACTCTTATGTAAAGATAAGTGACCCTGCACTACTCCCATCTCCTAACTGATCTCCCTGTTCCTTTTTGCCCTTCTCTGATACATTCTTCACTGCAACACAATGGATCCTCTATATCTAATTTGAATTTTATAACTCCCATGCTTAAACCCTTCTGGACTTATCATTGAGTGCAGAATTTTGCTTCTCTGCTTTGAATGTTTCATCTCTTTACTTTGTGAGTGGCTGACTCTTTCATCCTTTAGGTCACCTCCTCAAAGAAACCATTACTTTCCTTCCCTGATATTCTACTCTGTTTGTTTCATAGCACCTACTGTATCCTTCATTTTACATATTCTTTTACCTACTTGTTTTGGTTCTTCTTGTCTCCCCCACTAAGCTCCATAATGATAGAATTCTTGTTCATCATCATTTCCCTCCTGTCTAACACAGTACCTGCCACTTAGTCAGTGTTAAATGAATTAAATAATAAAAAATATATGATTTTTTCCCAGTTATAAAGTATCATTATTAACTGCATTAGATTTTTAAAATGCTAGAACATGTAAATAAAATAGAAATAACCCCTGATTTGCCACACACCATTGAGGAATAATTATATTTCTTTTTATTTTATTTGCTCTTCTTTTTATGGATGAATATATGTATATGTATGTATGTATGTATATGTATATATATGACAGTACTTCAGAAAGTTCATGGAAAGATTGGTATTATCTTTCAATTCTATTTTTCCATGAGCTTTTTGAAGTACCCGTGTGTGTGTGTGTGTGTGTGTATCGTTTTTTAAAAACTTTCTATATATTAGATATTCTTTATGAACTTTCCTTTTCTGCCCTTCAGTATAAATAAATATAATAGCCTGAATCATCATTTTGGGATATAAAATAAGGTTACATTTCTTTTTATTTAGCTTTTTGTTGTGGAGAATTTCAAGCATATACAAAAGTAGACAAAATAGCAGACTAAACTCCCATGTACCAGTCACCATGCCTCAAAAATTATCAACTCTTGGGTAGTCTTATTTCATCTTTACTCTCATCTTCTTTCCCCCTTTTCATATTACTTTGAGGCAAATGTTAGACATCCTGTCATTCTATTCATAAATATTTCAATAAGTACTTCTAAAAGCTAAGGTCTCTCTTTTTAAGGCACAACCTTAATACCATTAGCAAATCCAAAATATTAACAATAATTTCCTAATATCATCAGATACCCAGGAGGTATCAAATTTCCAACTGCATTACAACTTTGATAATTCTTTTTAGTTTGTTTATTCAAGTTAGGATCCAAATAAGGGCCATATGTTGCAATCAGTTGATATCTCTCTTATGTCTCTTTTTAATCCATAGGTTTTACTTTCCTTCTTTTTTTTTTCTTCCTAATTTATTAGCCAAAGAAACGCATTGTCTTATAGATTTTCTCAGGACAATTCTTACAATTGTCTTGTATTTTACTGATTTCATTATAGTCTAACATATTCCTCTGTCTTCTATATTTCTTATAAATTGATAGTTTGTTCTAGAGGTTGATAGAATTTGGATTCAATATCAGATTTTTTTTTTTTTTTGTCTTTTGTCTTTTTTCCGTGTCTGGCAACGGATCGCAACCCTCAGTGTTGCCCATGTACCGGACCGGGGACCGGCAACGGGATCGCAAGCCTCGGTGTTGCTCCCGCGCCTCGCTCAGCCAGTGAGCGGGAGCTGGTCTGTATGTGGGATCCGAACCCTCGGACGGGAGCGCCACCGCGCTTCCCAAGCGGCGCACTATCCAGTGCGCCACCGGGCCGGCCCCTCAATATCAGATATTTTTGAGTTCTTTCAGAGGCATATAGTATCTACTTTACTTCTTTTTTGTGATGTTAGCAGCCACTGATATTTACTGCATGGATTCATTAGTTCAGTAAACATTGCAAAATAGCAATATTTTAATTGTCACATTTGTTTCATTTATTTTCAGGACTCATTCTGTAAACAAACTGTTAGGTTATCCAGTACATTAGGTAGGCCACAAAGGAAAGGCAGGATAAAATTTTAATTCTTTCTCTTTATATACCAGTTTTCAATATATTGAGTTGGTTTCTAACATCCTCCAGTAGTGCTCAACTGACTTTTAGTAAAATGTCTTTATGAACTCACAGATTTTAAGTATTTGAAGTTTCAGTCCATTGCAGTTATTGTCTTTATTGATGTTCAGTTGTTTCTTCTTTAACCACTGAAAGCTTCTTGAAGATGCTGTTGAGTAATTTTGACACAGTGCTAGTGGTGTTTGGTAACTAACGTGCTGTCTTGTATAGCAAGGTGATCTAGTCCTAACTCTCACAATTTCTGTCCCAGATCTAGAATCATCTATTTCTTTGAAGAGCCCTAGTGGGAACTCTATTAGTATGGTATGTTGTGCTTGTTGCCACTAGATTTGTCATTATTTCTTGCCTTTTTTAGAGGGAGCTAGGAGCACATTTAAGATGAAATACATCAGGAGTTCAAACAGATTCCTCCAATTTAAATTTATGGTCATTGTCTTTTATTTTTTTTTTTAATTTTATTTTATTTTTTTGTCTTTTGTCTTTTTCCGTGTCCGGCAACGGATCGCAACCCTCAGTGTTGCCCCCGTACCAGACCGGGGACCGGCAACGGGATTGCAACCCTCGGCGTTGCCCCCGCGCCTCGCTCAGCCAGTGAGCGGGAACCGGTCTGTATGTGGGATCCGAACCCTCGGGCGGGAGCGCCGCCACGCTTCCCAAGCGGCGCACCTATCCAGTGCGCCACCGGGCCGGCCCCGGTCATTGTCTTTTAATGTATAAGGAGTACTGGATCCATGCTCGCATTAGTTCAGGTGAGCAGAAAGGCTAGTCTTCTTCCTAAGGCTTCTTTCTTTGGTAATTTCTATGAATATCCAATGAATGTTTATATATTCCACATTTTTAACCTGGCGATTCTTTGTTGCTTCTCCCCTGTCTGTACCTTGAAACAATGTTGCTCGCTTACCCATCTTGTTCACTCTGACCTTCTCAGAACACCAGATTTCTTGCTGTTAGTACTGACTTTCTCTAATAATATACGTAGTCCTTTCTTTTAACTCTTCTAAATTCATCTTAGGCCACAGTCAAGTATTTAAGTAAAGCTCTTCTGAGTTCCCAATCACAGCAGAAGTTCAAGGCTCTCAGTGATTTACAGTCTTCGGTCAAAAGATCGTTGCCTAGTTTATGCAGATCCCAACATGACAGCTACCAGTTCACTCACCAAATCCAGCTTCCTTCACGTAGAGTCCAGGGACTTCCATTTTTCTGACATAAGAGAGAACTTGTTCCCTTATTTACCCATTCCAAGATGTACCCTTTTTTGCCCTGGTGTGATTAGCACTGGATATGTTTGGGAGTAACTCCTACTCTCTATCTTCAGGATATGAACTTCCTTACACAGTCTAGACAATTTCAGTATTCACCAGTGATACCAACACAAAGGTTAACATTTTCCCCATGATAAGCAATGGTGTTTAGGATCTGGTCATTGCCTATTTTATTACTACATCTTCTGTCTCTGCCCCTGCCTTTGCTACCGTCATCTGATCCTATAATGCCTCATGTTTATCCCTTGTGCCTTTGCTGTTCCTCTTCCCTTTATCTAGAAATTTGAACTCCTGTGATACTCTTTATATAATTTTCTTATAATACATTTCATAATTTATTATAATTTAACATTTTCTTCTCTGTGTTCCCTGTTAAGCAAAATCACTGAATATGAAGATTTTGTTTTTAACTTTTGTATCTCTGGTGCCTGGTATAGTTTTTAGAACTAAGAAATTGTAGTAGTTTCCATGTCTACTTTTTCACTTTTAATAGAAAGTTTTAATTTTCAAAGGAAAGCCTTATTTGCAAGTCACATATCTGATAAGGGATTAATACCCAGAATATAGAGAGCACTCCTAAAACTCAACAATAAAAATTCAAAATTGGGTAAAGACCTTGAACAGACGTTTCTCCAAAGAAGATACACAAATGGCCGATGAGAACATGAGAGAATGCTTAATATCACTAATTATTAGGGAAATATAAATCAAAATCACAATGAGCTACTACTTCACAACCATAGGATGGCTATTATCAAAACCAAACAAACTAACCCAGAAAATAACAAGTGTTGGGGAGGATGTGAAGAAGTGGAAACCTCGTGCACTGCTGGTGAGCATGTACAATGGTACAGTTGATATGGAAAACAGTATGGTAGTTCCTTAAAGAATTAAAATAGAATTACAGTGCTGTATTAGTCCGTTTTGTGTTGCTATAACAGAATGCCTGAGACTGGGTAATTTATAGAGAACAGAGGTTTATTTGGCTTACAATTCTGGTACAGCTGCATCTGATGCAGGCCTCAGGCTGCTTCTACTCATGGCAGAAAGCAGCAGGCAGCTGGTGGGTACGAGCCGATCTCATGGTGAGAGGAAGCAAG